ACTTTCCAGATTTTTATGTCATCCGCAAACATGGCACAATCACAGTCCAACCCATCTACGCAATCATTGATGAACAAGAGAAAGAGAGTTGGTCCGAGCACCGAGCCTTGTGGGACCCCACTCTCTATGAATGTGCACCTTGATTGCTGTTGTTCTACGCAGACAATTTGGGAGCGGCCGACAAGGAAATTTTCGATCCATTTGAGAAGTTTGCCACCGATGCCCATAATTCTCAACTTGTGTAGGAGACGCTGGTGCGGAACACTGTCAAAGGCCTTCCGAAAATCAATATAGGCAACATGCACGGTGTGTTTTGCGTCCAGTGCTCGTGTCCAACTTTGCATTGTGTATAGCAAGTTCGTAACACATGATCTTCCCCTACGGAAACCATATTGTGCATTCGACAAGAGGTTGTGGGTTTCCAAGTAAGCCATCAACTCCTTTTTGATGGTTTTCTCTATCACTTTGAAGCAGATAGATGTCAGACTGACGGGTCTGTAGTTCGTAGCAAGAGCACGACTACCGCTTTTGTAAAGGGGTGTAATGTGGGCCGTCTTCCAGTCTGTGGGAAGAATTCCAGCATCAAACGATTTTTGGCACAGAAAGGATAGTGGCTTGGCCAGCTGTTGGGCAAGCTCAAAGAGCAGCTTTGCTGGAATCTCGTCCGGACCGGGAGATTTACATTCCTTCAAGCTTTTCAGTTCTTCCAAAATCGCTTCTTCTCGAAACACAATATTTTCGATAGTGGGATCTCTCATGTTCTCAGAATTAGATGGGGTAAAGTCCGCTTCTCTTGTGAAAACGGATCGGAAAAATTGAGAAAAGTGCTCAGCCTTATTTGTACTGTCCGATATCTCCAAGCCATCATCACCCCTCATAACAGGTATGGGATTCCTGTTACGTGTGCTTTTCCGCAAATAGCTGTAGAGCAATTTCGGATTTTTAACGGCTCGGTGGAGCAAATTACTCTCAAAATCCCGTCGCCTCCTGAAAATCAGGCTTTTCACCTTATTTCTTTGAATTTTGTATTCTGTAAACGCTGCATTATTGTTGTTCACGCGAAATTTTTTCCATAACCTACCTTTCTTGTTGATCTCCCTTTTGAGTTCTCGTGTAAGCCACTGAGGGCGGTTGGATGTCCTAGGCTTTGATAAGGGACAGTGGTTCTTCATTAGATGCAGTAAACGATCCTTGAATAAATTCCAGTCCTCGTTAACGTTTCCGGAGAAGAGAACATCGAGTGAACAGGTAGTATCAGAGAAACCCTCGTTTGGACGTGTTTGATGCCGTTTTTATGTACCTATGTCTTTCCCGTGAGCACCAGCGCCGCCTAACACCCTACAATCCCGCGGGGCTTCAGGTGGCGATAAGGGGCCATACAGGAGCTGAATGGGTGGCTGTGGTTGGGTTTTCGACGATGCAGCCCCCATTGCCCCATCACATGAAAAAATGTGCAGCGGGACAACTCCTTTCCGCCTTCCCTCGCCGCCATTTTAAGATAACCACCTTGTTGCTCTCATTATAATGTCCTTTACATGACGCAGCGTAGACCAGCATGCATTCATGTAACCCACAGTTAGGTGGACTTCCTACTGCATCCGCGCTCGACAATCTCCGTTACGGTATCGGACAATGAAAGCAGTTAAATGAGAAGGAGTAAGTTATTAACAACAAACAAAGCAAAAAAGCATAAGGAAGTGTGTACAATCGCAGAAATTATAAGTCAATGTGTGGAAGAGTGTTCGTTCTCTGCGGCAGGTCCCTAAAAAAGAGAGGGCATCAAATGAAGTGTTAAGACAATAATTAAAGAAAAGATAGTCAAATTGGAGTGCCAAACTGGATAGGTGCGCAATAACATAGCGCGCAAGTTGAAATACGCAAGAAATAATTGTGTTAGCACGTTCAACTATGACAATAGTTGGCAATTATGATTTTGTAGCCGCAGATGTTTTGCTGGAGTAAGAAATAATCTCCCAGTTTAAAGAAAGCATAAGTTTTATCACAATGTAAATTTAAGAGGCAGCTAGAATAAATAAAAGGATCACATCGCCTAAAAACGGTTAGTTTATTGTCAACTCTATGGCTACCAACGGGATATTACGTAAAACCCTTAAAATGAGGGGAAGATTATACTACT